ACGACTACGAGTACTACCACCACTACCACTACCACTACCACTACCACTACCACTACCACTACCACTACCACTACCACTACCACTACCACTACCACTACCACTACCACTACCACTACCACTACTGCTGCTGCTGCTGCCGCTACTGCTTAAGATAGAACTTCGAGGTCTAGCACTGAGACTTCGAGGGCTTCGGGCTTAAAAGAGTTTGGAGTTTGGGTTTGTGTGCGCCGGGGCTGCAGGGTTCGGAGCATTTCGGAGCTCAGGAAGGGGGGGGCCCAGGAAAAGCTTCGGCTTTATCGAGGCCTTCCTGAGTGTCCAAGGCCTTTTCTCGCCGGGAGTTTTACTGGAATCTGTTGTTCCCTTGCAAGAGCGTTTTAGAAGCCTGTTGCGAGAAATGCAGGTGATGACTATACGCATTAAGCTGGCTCTGAACCTTAGGCTTAAAATCTGAGTGCTACGGGAACCGGCTGCCCAACGTGCGAAAAATCAAAATTAAAGCTTCTTATCCTACACACTGCATGCCTTGTGCCTCATACTCTGAATCCCACTGACCCCAAACCTGAACTCTGTCCGTCTTCTGCCAGATCGCTGCTGCGCAGTTCAAGCGCCGCCGCATCATCGAGATCCAGCACGGGCGCGTGCAGGGCTTAAAAAACCGCTGCGTCTTCACTAACACCCAAAACCCTCAACCACTGCCATATTAATTACGTTTTTCAGTAAGGCACTGTCTGGGGCTCAGGACTGCAAAGGGGTTCGAATGCCTCGGTTGTAGCCTGGAGTCCTGTTTTCGGGGCCTCGTGCAGGCTGGAGCTTCGGAAGCCCACGGCTTGATGGCTTGATGGCCCGTAGGCCGTAGGGTTTGGAGTTTAGGGTGTACGTTCGGGGTGTGTAGGGGTCACGATACGGCCATGCTGCAACCACGCCCGCCGATGCCGAACGTGCAGCCACAGGTCAGGATTTGCCTGAACCCCAAACATCGCATGAACAAGGAGATCTGTAAGGAGCCTAATTTGGACAATATAAAACCCTCTGATGATGTGGGCCTGCCTTCAGTGTCATGCTCTTACCAATTTTTCTTATGATTGTTATTAGTCCGAAGCCGAGGTTGCCATGCTGGCCTGCATTGGATATATTGTGCCGGAGTACGTCCGCTTCCCAGGCCCGTCTGGGACCTGCACTCTTCATTTTCGGAGCGTCTAAGAAGCTTCAGTATTTGGGATTTGGGTTTTTGGTATATCGGGCGCGGGCGTCGAGATTTAAATCGGTTTCACGGTCCGGTAGTTGGCTGTGAAGTTTAAAGCAGGTTCCTGTTTGAGGTGTTCTTGGCCAGATGACAAGTAAGGGGCTTCGGCGGCCTCCGAATGCTCAGCCCCGAAGCCCCCAACCCCAAGTAAGTATCTTCCCTTTTGCCGTATACCCTGGAGCTGATATCCATAAGCCTGAAAGCTAAAATTGAACCTAGAAGCTCAGGCTTCCGCACCTACGCCCCTGCCAAACCGACGATTCCAATGTTACTGTTTGGGGCTCAAGGTTTAGGGTAGGTGTTTAGGGTAGGTCGGGTTCAAGGAGCTCATAGAGATGCAGGGGCCTCTCAGAGCCACTTCCTTCGAAGGCTTCTGCGCGCCTTCTCAGAACCTGGCCTTCACCGACACCGAGCAGCATTCTGGGCTTTCGGATTCAGCGCATGTCAGGTTTTTGTGCAGTTTACGGTTTTCTTGTGGAGTTTGTACACTTACTGTAAAAGCCCTGGAATCCTTGTCCTCAGCTGAACTCGATCCTCGACTCCAAACATAAACAAATCGGAAAGCCAAGGATATCCCGAACGGCCTGAAGGGTGCCGCTGCCGTGCCTTTGTCAGGCCAAGATTTGGGGTTCAGCAGTTTTGAGTGGGGGTCTGGGCTTTGACGCTGAAGCTGAAGTCCAGGGCCGAGCCACGCGAACTGCTTTCGCTGCAGCAGGGCTTAGTTGGTCAAGTCAGTCCGGACCGTAGGCTTTCCAGACAGCCAGATCCCGCTAAGCATCCTCATTGAGTCCTAGTTCTGCTGGAAGCCTTGGGAGCCGAAGTGCCAAGCTCTGGAACCCAGGGTTTGGACCCGCCCCAGCGCACTCCTGGGAGGCTGGCTCCAGATCATCACCTTCGTCCCGCGGCAGCTGCAACCCTAGCCCTAGCCTCCAAGTTAGCCCTGACCTCCAATCGAGCTTCTAAGAATTAATAAACTACTGTTTGGGGCATGTGCTAGGGGCTCGTTTCTTCTGAAGCTCTTAAATCCGAACCCAAAGCCGGACTGGAACTCGAGCAGCTGTCGAACACCGCATCCTAAAGCCTCCAATTCTTGAATTGTGTTGCGCAACATGCTGGACTCATAAGACCTGAGCATTCAAAACTCGACCCGGTGGCCCTGAACCTGACTCCCTCCAAGCACACAAGGTTGGAATCATCGAGCGTCTTGATTGCAGCTTCTCGAGGTTCAGGGTCTGGTTTTGCATCTAGTTGCAGGATCAGTGTACTCACAAGCACCAAGGACCTGAGGGATTTGGGTTCAGAATCTACGTGGTTCTTGGGTCATGGTGGTGTTGTTCTACCAGAGGGTTCGTACACTGTGGCACATGGAGGATCCTTCGCACGGTAAGCTCGTTTTGATAAGTTAACACCTAGAAAGGAACTTTTGGATGTGATCTCACGCAATGCTCAAAGTATACTGTATTTTAGATCGCCATTCGACCAATGAGAGCACCTGTATGCCACTTACTAGGCATGTGTATTCGAAGTCCAGGTGTTGAGAGTTTTCGGGTGTTAGTGGCCTGTCGTTCGCAAGCTGCAACCCTTGAGGTAAGTCTGAGTTGAGGGGTGTCAAAAAAACGCCGTGTCGTCTTTGATACTCCAAGCCCTAAGGTCTGATGCCGGGTCCGGGGCTCCAAGCTTGGGTCCTGCGATATCCTGTGTACCCGTCCTTTCGTAGGGCTCTCTACAACTACTCCTGACCACTCTTGAAGGTGTCACATAATGGTGGTGGGAAGTATTGGAGAGACCACCCAAGCTGTTCAGGGTGACGAACCTCCAGAACATCCAGACCGATGTGCTGGGTGACTACGGCGCCCGGTCGATGTTGGATCAAATTTGAATGTCAGTACCCAGGCAAGTCCTTGAATTCAACCCGCGCTAAATGCTGACTGGAGCCAGGCTACGGTGCCTTTGGCTTGCCCTTCGGCAAGAAGATCGAGGACAGATTTTAGGCCGTACAGGCAAAAAAGTTCACCTGTTGGTCAGAATGCAGGGGTGGCCTGGTCCCTCAGACCTGCACTGCACTCGTTTGTTTTATGTTGGACAGTCTCCACTCAAGCCTCAAAGCAAAACAAGGGGAACCCAACCCCGCAATGCAACAAGCCCTCACCGAACATTGCGCGGTTGAAGCTGCCAAAGCATGGCAGGATGCCGAGAAGAAAGCGAAGAGCTTGAACGCCGAGATCAACAACGGCAGGCCAGTAACGAGGGTTTATGGGGGGGATCGGGTCAAACCGCAGAGGTGTCACAGGTTTCAATGTGAAGTTTGAACGCGTTCGGAGTCCATGGACAGAGGCTCAGAGCTCGCAGCTCGCAGCTCAGGGTCCCGGGTCCCTGGCCGGGATGTTTTAGTTTTGGCTTTGCTCGATTTCATCTGATTTCGATTTTTTGGGTTTTGGGCTCGGAGCTTGGGAAATTTTGGCACCCCTGATCGCGAAGGTTGGCCATGTTCGCCATCATCGGCACCTCGGAAATGAACGTTTGGGGCAATTTTTTTGGGGTCTTGAAGTTCTCTTTCAGTTTCCGTGGCTTGGCGAGACATGGCAGCCGCTGCTCCCGCTCCTGCTCCTGCTCCTGCTCCTCCTCCTCCTGCTTCTGCTCCTCCTGCTCTTCCTCCTGCTCGTGCTCCCACTCCTGCTCCTGCTCGGCACCCGACTACTGCTCCTACTGCTACTGCCACTGCCACTGCCACTGCTACTTCTGCTATGCTACTGCTACTACTACTACTACTACTACTACTACTCCTCCAACCTGCTTCTGCTACTGCTACGGCTCCGGCTACAGCTACCCCTACCGCTACTGTTGCTACTGCGACGACGACGACGACCACCACCACCACCACCACCACCACCACCACCACCACCACAACCACAACCACAACCACAACCACAACCACAACAACAACAACAACAACCACCCTTAGCAACGGCAACGGCAACAGCAACAGCAGCAGCAGCAGCNNACTACTACTGCTACTACACCTACTACAGCACGGGAATTACTTTGTACCACTGATTCGTCTTCGTTGCTTTGTTCCTGTAGGTACGTACCGTAATTTCAGAAATCATAATAATATGAGTGAACGCATGATAGTACTAGTCATACCTGTTATTGGCAGGTGATTTCCCTTTTATGACATTCTCTCGTTGTATACCAAAGGTACTAGACCCTCGAATCCAACCGACCGAGGCATGTTCTTCCAAGATGGCCTCACCGGCTCCGCATGGGGCCGCTGGGTTCCGTGATCAGTGACGTTTGATGTTTGCGGTTTTTTCAAGGTTTACGTTTTAAGTCCTGGGGATAAGGCGAGAAGGCGATAGGGTAGGGCCACCTTTTAGGTCAATTCTTCACGCCCTCAGCGACTTTCGACCCCCAATCCTGACCTTCAAACTTCGAAGACTCCAAGCTCCAGCGAAGAAGCTGATGCTGGAGCTTCGAGCCTGGACCTCGACCATGCCGCAGCCTAGAGACCGGCTCTTCTGAGGCGACTGGGCCAACTACACCGAGTCCCCTCTCCGAGCCTTCGAGGTCGTGTGGGGGGGGGGGGGGGGGGNNAGGGGGCTTGTCTGTTTTTGTTCATATTTGTTTCTGGTGTCCAGGCGTTTGTGAAGTGGAGATGTTGGGTTTCGGGATCAGGATTCGGAGCCTAGGTTGTGATCTTATTGGCTGGCTGCATGGTGCGTAGGGTGTAGTGTTAATGGGTTAGGGTCCACAACATGCGACTGAGCCTATCTGCACCTCAGGAGGAGCTGGGTGTACAGGCGCCTGTGGGCTTCTGGGTGCCTCGGCTTCAGCAGATGTCCTGTGTGTTCTTGACTCGTCGCCCTACAGGGTACCATGTGTTAGGTCTCGGAAAGATGCCAATGAGCCAAGGGTTCTTAAAAGGGACCCTGACAAGAACGCCCCACATGCAAGGACGACTAAACCCTGCCAGCCTTTTGAATTGAGCTGCATCGCCGGACCAGCTGCAGCAAGCCACCGCCAACAGCCCTTAAAGCAGACTTCGAGGCCCGGCTGTGGCGCACTTCAGCGCTCGAAGTTTGCACGTACATGCATGCATACATACATATGCATACAGCTGGCCATTGTGATGGTATGTGTGTGAAGGCCCGAATAAGGTTTCCTGAACGGTAAACAAAGTGAAAGGAGTTTGCAAAAGTTCTAGTCCACCTCGGGGCACTCGCGCTAGAGGCTTGAGAGGCTCCTAAGTGCACAAATCTCAGACTTCAAGAAGTGGCCTAACTCCGCAAGCGGGCTTGCAAAAACAAGTTTCGGGTCTCGAGCCCGAGAGAGTGGGCTAGGGTGGCTTGTCTGACGTAGCCCAAAGCATTTCCCGCATGCTATTCAAGGATCCCGTGGGCTACACCCGCGATGGCTCCTTGGTTGGCACTCTGAAAGCCTGAGGAGAGCCATCCGACGCATGGTACATGCTTCCTTGGCAAGTGGAACTTTTCGGCAAGACTGTGCAGTCAGAAGACCTTGCAACAGCGATAAAGATCTGCAGCCTTGAGCCAAGCCGTCTCCAATCCCAGCCTCGAGGCAATGTCGAGACCTTCAAGCGCCGGCGTGAGACGGAAATCAAGTGCCCGGCCAAACTTACAGTAGGGCTCGTGCTTTTGGGTTTGGGTTTGGGTTTCAAGGTTCAGGGTTCGGGTTCGTGGTTGAGGGGCCTCAACCCTGCAGCTTTCCGAATTTCCTGAAGGCAGCGGCCTCTCTGAGCAGACACCCGCAGCCTCCTAGCTCCGGGCTCCAACTTCAGCGTCTGAAGCCTTGACCAACGAGTGACCCTCAAGCGACCCTGCCTGAATGCGGCTTCCAGGGACAAAACCAACGGCTTTGGATGATTACTTGAACACCGTGCCACAAGCTTCCAGGAAGGTCGCATTGAACCAAGTGAGATCTTCTTAGGCCTGTGACCCTGCACCCCAACCAACCCTTTGTGTGTATGTCTAAAGTTGTCCGCAAACGGGAAACCCAACCCCAATCCCAGAGAGACTGTAAGATCAAGGCACGGCCGCGTCGCGATGTACGCCACCCTGGGTCGCTCAGTCGACGTGTTTCAAGCTGGGATTCAGGGCTTCAGCTGGGTTTCCTGAACATTCTGAGTTCGGCACGCATAGAAGCATGATGATGGTGATGACGATGATGAGGATGATGATGATGGTGACGAAGATGATGACACGGACTGCATCCCTCGTAGACAAAGTCCAAACCCGCCTTGAAGACAACAACCCTCAGACTTCGCCCGTGGTTTCGAGGCTACATCGTGCCTGAGTACTTCAAGTGGCCAGGCTGCGGGGGGAGGGGCACGTACCTGCTTGTGATACTTGAGGCCTACGTTTTCGGGTTTTGGGGTGTAGTTCAGGGTTTAGAGTCTAAGGGTAAGACTGGGTGCCGCATATGGTGGGAGGCCATAAACCTGCGCTTCTACAGAACCCGGATCTTAAGCCTTAAGCCCGGATCCAAGACCCTAGGCCCGGTAGCCATTCTGGCTACAGCATCTTCTCACTAAGATGGCCGCGGCGAGGTCGAGTTGACTCTGGGTGGGGGCGCATGACGAAAGCCTGAGTTGCAGGCAGACATTTCCGCATTTGGAGCATTCAAAAGCTCGGGCAGCTCTGTCCCAACAGGTGCAAGACTGGTTGTTGCACCGGTGGAAGCTTGGTGCGTGGGAGGTGCAGCCTTGGTGGATGCTGCGATGTTCGAGAAGTAGACGGGGAGACCGTTCATGTCCTCGACAAGAAACTACCGAAGTCAACTTTGGCTACGCAGGCCAGGCTGTCAAGAATGGAATTGAACCCTCGCAAGACCTGGCCCTTGGGGCATTGGCGGACGAATCTGGACCGATCTTCACCGGTTCCGGTTCGTCCTAACTCCAGGATCCGGGGCCCTTACGATCTCTTAACACGAGTTGTCGGGACCCTAAGCTTGAACATGTTGCAGCCCGAAGCCGTAGACCTCAGTCCTAGACGGACCGGCCATGATTTCAAGAAAGCCGCAGAGGCTGGGTGTATTGGGCTTCCACCTTCAAGCCCCCCTACATTCCGGCGCGTTTCAGGGCTTGGTTTCCATCCCAAAAAGCCCACATGCCAAACTCCGAAGCGCGAAAACCCGACAGCCTTAGCCTCAAAACCCACGGCCTCAGACCTCAAACCTAAACAGCCTGAAACCAGCTTGTAGAGGATTCCTGTCGCCGTCCCTGGGACTGAAGTTCTCCGATGTGCCTAACGGCCTGGCTGCCATCACCAAGGTGCTCGAGGGCTTTGAGGTCTTAGGGGAGTTGGGGCTGGACAGGTTTTTTGGGGGTTGGTCTCAGGGTTTGCGGGCTTCGCGTTTGCATTTTTGTTCCTGGGTCGAGTGTTTAGCGTTTGGGATTAGGGGCTCGAAGAGATGCACGGTTTTGAGCATCTCGGGTCTGGGGTTGAGGCACTCTCTGCACGTTGTGCACGACGTTTTGGCGTGATGCAGGGTACTTGTAGGTTTGTTGGTTTTCATGTGCCCGGCATGAGTGGCAGAAGCAGATAACCAACACTACGAGCAGTTGGTGCAAAGACGGTGCTCCTGCCCAAGTTACATGGTTGGGCGATCACGTGTCTGGCACCCAGGTAGTAGCAAGCTTCTCAATTTGCCAAGCACAGGAAAATCTAATCTAGACACCGCCCGAACAGTAGACCCGGGCTTGAGGGTCCCTTAACATTCTGAACCCTTTATGCCCCTGGAGTCATCCCTGCTCTCGAGGTGCCTGGTGCGGGCTGGGCGCAGATCGTGGCCTTCGCCGGCTACTACGAGCTCTTCGTGTACAAGTTCAATGGAACTCCAGGTCGCTTTTTCAAAATGGGATTGTCGGCTCTGCGTAAACCAAAGAGAGGGGCTGCGGCCCTCCCAAGTCGAGTGTAGTCACCTGACCTCTTTAACCACATGCCCTTGCAAGGAGGCTGTAATCTTGGACATCATCGCAACATAAGACGCACACCCTCGACACAAATTGGACCCACTCCCTCATCACTCCCTGGCTTCTCATCGGTTCCCGTTCTCGCAGTGGTCGGCGCAAGTCGCCGAGATGTCTTCGAGAAGCAGCGCAAAAACCAGAGATTAAGGTGACTACAGTTCTTTCTCAGGTCGGTTTGATATATATATATATAGATATATATGTATATGCATGTATATAAATCTGTATATGTATGCATGCATGCATGTATGCACGAACGAATGTGTGCATGCATGTATGCATGTATGTATGCATGTATGTACGTATGTATGTATGCATGTATGTATGTATGTATGTATGCTACCCCCCCCTCAAGGATCTACCGTTTTCGTGTGTTTGAGAGCTGCAGGCAGAAGACATGAAGATTCATATGGATTTGTACTTGTGTGGACAACATGCCCTTTACGAAGGAAATAACAATAGACTGCGGTTTACAGTATTCGTTAAATACTACAAACGAGCACAATTGCACACACATGAAACACCTAAGAGCCAGGAGGCAACTATT